GTTATTTTTTGAGGAACCTCAATTCTACCGGAAGACGACTAGCAAAAAATTTTAAAAAATCCGATGAAAAGAATTTAAAACTTAAAAACTGTCGACAGAAATACTGTGCACGTCCAAGTTTTTAACAGGCTCCTCAACTTAAACAGCTAAATTCAACTTGAAATACACGAGTAAGAGAGTACCCCATTACGGCACTATCGTTTTACACAAAGCGAGGTGCATGACCTGCTCAGGTGTTCCCGCTGCTCCATGAAATCATCGATGAAAACAGTGCATAGGAAGGCGTAGAACAACTGCTATGTCTGGCAAGCCGTTTGAAGTCCAACAATGGTGCTGACATTGAAGTCCGGCTGAGGACTTTAAGGCTAAGATTAGTCGTCCTGCGGTTCTGCAGCGACATTCCTGACTCTCGCGAGCTTTTAAAAAAAAGTTTCCTGAGAAAGCGCTGAAGATTCCTTGTTAAGGACTAACTTGAGTGAAGAAGTACCAGCGGTGAGTAGCGGTATATAGTAAGAATTTTTCTTTTTGTTATCAGAAAGTGAAGAAAATTGTAGGCAAAAAAGCGCGCATTCCGCTGCTGATAATCTTAAAATTTCAGAACTACGGATCACTTATTGGCCGAAACATAACTGCCGGGATTGGTCGCTGCTACAACTAGAAAAAAGTGCAATAACTTTGTTCCACGTACAATCAGTTACTTTTTTTGTCTCGTTACCAAATTTTTTTTTTTCAGACTCTGCTGCGTAGTAGGGTTTTTGCTCTATATGAGAAACCTGCAGCATTACCTTACTAACCTCTCTAATTGATAATCACCATTTCCTAAGTTGTAAAAAGGAAATTTTTTAGTCAGATATTGGTCCTTTCAAATTGTCCTATTCTTTGCTTGGCTTTCATACTCTTGAAAAGTCTGACCACGTAATCTTACTGTGACATAAAAATAAGTCGGTCTACAAATTACTCAAAATGCCGAACTGCTAGTCTGAAGTAATGATTAATAGAATAATGCAATTTACTGCATTTTCCATTCTCCGTTTCATGATTCACCTGCCCATGCACGCTCAAATTAGGAATTTATTGTAGCGAAAAAATTTTAAATGAAATGTTTTCCTCAGAGAGAATTCGAGTACTCAATGTTTTTCTTCTTTTTTATAAATGGCCTTTTCTGCATTTCTGTAATTTATGTGGAAAAGGAAGAATCTTGAAAATTTCAAAGAGTAAATGATACACTTTGAAACTTCTTCAAAATGTTTAATTTTGCAAGGGGTAAAGCATATTACGAACTTCTGCAGCGAGAAATATCCGGTCACTTTCCCTTTCAACTTTTTCGGGGTAACAGGTTTTTAGTATGAGAGTTTGTTGGTCTTTTTGGTCATGTGTATAGAGAGCAAACTTTATCGTGTAGAAATGTTTGGGGAAAATCTAAAAATGCGATTTGTCCGATGTGGAATAACTAGGAAAAATTTACACTGACTGTCGGTTGCGGCCTGAAAATCCCGTACCAATAAGCATATATGCTCCCGCGCATGAACAATATTTCCAGAAGGTTTCAAAAATTTGGTTCTAAGTTTTAAAGGTTTATTTCCAGCACACAAATATGGTTCTCAAAAAGTAAACTCTTGAATTTTGAATTTAAAGATTTAACTTCTGTGCCTTCACTGCGCCTGAAAAAAAGAACGCTTACTGCAAAAATAATCTTTGAGGCCACTTTTCTGTCCACAATAATGTTTAAAATCCAGTCGGTATCGCAAACAGTCTGAGTGTTTCAAAAGTGAAGAAAAACTGGACTGTAAAATAAGTTATGCCCAAGAAAGATTTACTGGAACAAATACAGTAGTTCATTAAAAGTGAAAGTATTAGTGACATTCTTACAACGGCAAAAAATGCTGCAAAATCAATTAGAGGGCTAATGCCAAATTATTAGCTTTCCAGAAGTTTGAACGGTTTCAGGATTTGGATTGAGAGAGTTGTACGAGACAGTCTCTTCCAGCTTCCGTTCAGTCTCTAGATATTATAAATAAAACCGTTATCTTCAAAGCTGTTTATCAGTATTGCTGTTTAATAACGCCACTTCCCAGTAAAAATTCTAGATTAGTGTCTTCCACATTACGCAAAACTATTAAAGTAAGTGTCATAACAAACTTATCAACCGATAACTCTGATAGTGTTGTCTATACTGACCGCATAAAGCAGTAAAACATTGAGTATTGCCAATTGGGTTTACAGTAAAGTTCTCAACAAGTATTTAAGCTCGACAAATGTTCAAAACATATCACTTACAACGAAGTATTTTTTGCTACTTTAAGGTGCTTCTTGAATAACATAAAGGAAAGGCTTGAAGGAACATTAAAAATTTCTATAAATTTAACTTTTTCAAATGACTTCCCAATGTCTATAAATGTATGCATAAATCTATTCGCTTGAGAATATAAAAGTCTGTATAAGTGAGAGCATTTTGATGAGTAAGCTGTAAGAGGTAGACCCAAAGAACTAGGAGTTTTAACAATTAAACTTCTTATACTCAACCTGCGCCTCACTTCCAGTAGAAAGTATTTGTCTACCTAAACGTTGGTTAAGAATCGCTCTTAAACTAGGAGATAGCAACAAATATTACCACTTTTTCCACCAAATTCTGAAATCTTCAAAAGGGTAATGTAGGATTGAAGGCAGTTCCGATAAGGCGAAAATTAAGTATTCAGAATTGTCAGAAGTTAGAAGTGTCAGAACTCAAGTTTTCTCTGAAGTTTTACATAAATTACTTAATTGCTCACTTAATCTTCGTCTTCACTCGGCTTGACATTTTTCAGGCTATAGTGTCTTTACATTTGAAATTGCCTGTCTTTTGTCGGTTTTTTTAAAAACGTTTCAACTGTTCAAGCACAAAAAACTTTTTTTTTTCTAATTTGACAAGCAATACTGAAAAACTTTTCAGAACGGTCAGCGAAATGTTTCAAAGTTCGCTGTTATACATTTATACATTTTCTTACTTTCAGCAGTTTCCTAAGGTGACTAAAATTATCACCAAATAAGTAAAATTCTTTTGAGTTTTTAACAGTACAGTTATCACTCTTATAATATATACAACTAAGCCAATAAATAATTGAAATGTTAGCTTTATTTCCTTTAAAACTTTGCCTTATGATAGAGTCTTCCAATATAATCAGTCTCAAAGCATCTCTTTAGCAGTTGTTCAGACCCAACCCCATGTTTTTCTGGAGGAGCCCATGTCATCCTATTTTCTCTTTATCCTCTTTTTTCCTCTAATCTCCAGAAATGTTCACTACTCTTCTATGGTAATTACTTCTTCCACGCCTTTACGTCGAGCTCAAGCGAGAAAAAGACGTAAGAGTGCTATTCTGAGCGCTCCAGAAAAAAGAATCGCTTGCAGTCGTATACGAAAACTTTCTTTTGCTTTGCTCTTCATCATATGTTTTGTTTCACACCTTGAACGCCTCCCACTTTTCTTAATTAAGCCTTGGCTTATAACCCGATGTCTATAATTGTAAAATATAACTTTAAAAGAAGATCCGTTATCCAAAATAATTGGAACAAATACGACTTGAAGAATTATTGCAAAAATATTTCTCTTTAGCACTAAGCAAACATCCATTTTAACGTAGTTGAGGCTTACTGAAGTTGCTAGGCCGTCAGAAAACAATTATGTTTACTAAGCAGGCATTCAGAAATTTTCTGATTTCCCAACTTATTCAGAACTAATAAGAAACACAGAAGAAAAAAGTGGTTACAGTGGTTTC